CCCCGGAAGAGACCACTGCCAATCGCCCACTTCACAGAGGAATTCAACGATGACCCGGATTATCAACAAATATTCCTATCGATTAAGGAGCAAGCAGACGAAGAATTAGCAATCAAACTACGACGAGAAGGTGTTATTACTACACCAGGCGAACCGTTCGAACAGTCAACTAAACAAGAGATCAACAGCCTCATCGCTAGAGGAGTGTTCAAATTCACCCAGTTCAATAAGAGAAGGCACCAGAACGTACGAATCTTCCGATCTCGTATCGTCAACGAAGTCAAGGGTAAAACAACCGAACCCTACGAGAAATCGAGACTTGTAATACAGGGTTACGCCGACGATAGCAAGAAGGCTATATTGACCCAATCGCCAACGATTCAACGGGCGAGTCAACGGCTAATTCTGTCAATTACCCCGTCACTCCTACGAGAAGGGAAACAACTATGGCTTCGAGATATCACACAAGCCTACGTTCAATCCTCCACAAGGCTCAATCGAACTATTCTCGCCTACCCACCGAAGCAAATTCAAGACCAGTACCCAAAAGGGACCATTATGGAGGTTGTGAAGCCTCTGTACGGAATCGCAGAAGCTGGAACCCACTGGTGGGCAACGTATCACAAGCATCACAGAGAGAATCTCCAGATGGTTACTTCTTCGTACGATCCATGCCTATTGATCTCATCTACCGAAAATCCACACTTTGGCTGTATCGGCATGCAAACCGACGATACCCTCGGTTTGTCAGACAAGGCGTTCTCACAATTAGAAGACGAACAGTTAGAAAAAGCGGCTTTTACGGCAAAAGCGAAGAATATCCTCACAATTGACGAACCCCTCCAATTCAACGGAGGGATAATCGCGCTGTCAACCGACAATTCGATCAATTTGAGGCAAAAGGGACAAGCCAAGAAGTTACGATGTATTGAGACTACTAAACCCAACCCAAAACAGCAATATGTCGAACAACGCGCCAGAGGGGCGTACATCGCGTCAATTTGCCAACCCGAGGCCTGTTTCGATTTATCCACTGCTGCCCAACACCAAGACCCCTCGCCAGAAGCGATAAAAGCACTGAATCAACGGATTCGATGGCAAATAGAATCGCCTAACCGAGGAATAACGTTTATCCCACTCGACCTTACAACAGCCAAGCTATTCGTTTTCGTTGACGGGTCGTTCGCTAATAACCACGACCTCTCCTCCCAATTAGGGTTTCTGATCATCCTAGCCAACGACACTTCCTCTGACAGCAACAACGGAGAATTCACGATTCACGGTAACCTCGTTCATTACAGCTCTACGAAGAGTAAACGAGTCACCCGCAGCGTATTAGCGTCAGAGATCTACGGGATGGTCGCTGGCGTCGATATGGCCTACGCCCTCGCCACAACCCTGGCGACAATCACTGACCACCTCAACCTACCAACGATTCAGACAGTTGTCTGTACCGATTCCTATTCGCTGTACGAGTGTCTCGTGAAGCTGGGCACTACCAAAGAAAAGCGACTCATGATCGATATCATGGCGTTGAGACAATCGTACGAAAGACGAGAACTACAAGAAATTCGTTGGATTAACGGCGAAGACAACCCTGCTGATGCCCTCACGAAGAGCAAACCAAATCGAGCCCTCGAGAGATTCGTTGATAGCAACACGATAACGATACGTATGGAGGGATGGGTAACAAGACCGTAACTACGGGAGAAAGTAGGGATAGGAGGCCGAATTGACGAGGAGACGGAACTATATAGGGACAACGTATTCCAACCGCTTCAACACCATAAAAAGAGAGTTTCCAGTGTTGCGATAGTTGGAATACGGAGTCGTGTGGCACTTCCAGCCACACGCCCGCCAGGCTGAGAGGCCCAAGCCTCCCAGACCCACGTGACAGGCCAAGGGGGAATATCCCCACCTTCTAGTCAACAACACCACTTTCAACAATCATGAACCATCGATTAGAACCAATTTACTGTTATTTGTTATTGACGAACGGAATTCCGTTTCACCCCCTGTTTCACCCCCTGTGAAACCTACAATGATAGTTGAAAGTGGTGTTGTTGACTAGAAGGTGGGGATATTCCCCCTTGGCCTGTCACGTGGGTCTGGGAGGCTTGGGCCTCTCAGCCTGGCGGGCGTGTGGCTGGAAGTGCCACACGACTCCGTATTCCAACTATCGCAACACTGGAAACTCTCTTTTTATGGTGTTGAAGCGGTTGGAATACGTTGTCCCTATATAGTTCCGTCTCTTCGTCAATTCGGCCTCCTATCCCTACTTTCTCCCGTAGTTACGGTCTTGTTACCTATCCCTCTATACGTATCGTTATCGTGTTGCTATCAACGAATCTCTCGAGGGCTCGATTTGGTTTGCTCTTCGTGAGGGTATTAGCAGGGTTGTCTTCGCCGTTAATCCAACGAATTTCTTGTAGTTCTCGTCTTTCGTACGATTGTCTTAACGCTATGATATCGATCATGAGTCGCTTTTCTTTGGTAGTGCCCAGCTTTACGAGACACTCGTATAGCGAATAAGAATCGGTATAGATAACTGTCTGAATCGTTAGTAGGTTGAGGTAGTTAGTAATTGTCGCTAGGGTTGTGGCGAGGGCGTAGGCTATATCGACGCTAGCGACCATCCCGTAGATCTCTGACGCTAATACGCTGCGGGTGACTTGTTTACTCTTCGTAGAGCTATAATAAACGAGGTTACCGTAAATCGTGAATTCTCCGTTGTTACTATTAGAAGAAGTATCGTTAGCTAGGATGATTAGAAACCCTAATTAGGAGGAGAGGTCGTAGTTATTAGCGAACGACTTATTAACGAAAACGAATAGCTTAGCTATTATAAGGTCGAGTAGGATAAACGTTATTCCTCGGTTAGGCGATTCTATTTGCTATCGAATCCGTTGATTTAATGCTTTTATCGCTTCTAGCGAGGGGTCTTAGTGTTAGGTAGTAGTAGATAAATCGAAACATGTCACAGTTCTTCCTGCTAGCACGTGGCTACAACAGGCAGAGGTCGGAACCGTGATAAGAACAGAGATGTAAATAGAATGATGCAGAAGTCAAACAAACGGTCACAAGGCAATAAACAACGATGAATTGATAAACGTAGGTATAAGCAGTTGGTCTTCTATTGAGTTGGCCTACTGACGATGATGCTATCGAGGGCGTCTCTTATACGGGTACGGCCAGCACGTGAGATATCACGTGCCCCTGATGACTGTTCATAGAACTGTGACAGGTGCCCCTCCCGAAAAAAAGCGATCGTCCCGATCGACAGTAAAATGAAAACTAATTACATGAATTTGTTCCTTCCATTACCCATCTATCGCGAAGAATCACGACCCTGACGATGAAATCCTATCCTAATCGCGGTCCAGCATGTTACTAAAGCGGCTCTGCTTAGCCGGGCCTGCGATGTTCTCGGTGGCGACGCGCTTGTCGCCCTTCTGCAACTTGGCAACAGCTTCGCGCAGTTCCACGATCTTACCGCGGAGGACTGCAATTTCGTCATCCTTGGTAGCGATGACGCGGTTGACCTCTGCGGCGATCATTTCCTTGCTGGCAGCAGTCGCTTCGAGTGCTTTGAGGCGATCGTTGACGCTCGCGACGTCGACGGTGGACTGGGCTTTCTCGTCGAGTTCGTTGAGGCGAGGGATGATCTCCTCGTTGACGCCGTCAACGATTTTCTTCACATTCTTGGTGACCGTCTCGTTCATTCCGTGAACGTCACCTTCGAAAGCCTGAAGCGCCTTTTCCATATTCTTGAGTTGCTTGCGAGCGGTTGTATCGGTGGCGGTCATGTAGCTGATATTCACGAGCGGGGGAACTGAGAGGAGGTCGGCTCGGTGAACAGCAATGAGGTGGCCCGCGATGGTACCGTTGACCTGACCGTCGCCAGTGTAAAAGACGGTTGCGAGAACCTGGGCGCGGGACGGCAAGTGTTCTGTGTACGAGGCGTTGTTGTTGTACGCGGTGTAGGCGCGTTTGCAAGCGTCCTGAACGCGACGAATGAACAGGTTGGAGGAGGGGGTGGCTGGGCCAGTGAAGTTGTCGAGACAAGCCTCGATCTCCTCGAGCAACATATCGTCCGGGTAGAAGGCGAACGCGTCCTGGGCGCGCTTTTTAGCGTCTCGGACCTGGGTGCTATCGACCTTGGTAGCGGCACGCTTCTTCTTCTTGGGGGTGCCGGACTTCTTGCCAGCCTTGGCCTTCTTAGCCTTGGGGGCGGGAGTGGCCTCGACGGCTGAGGCGTCGGACTCCTCCTCCTCGCTGGATTCGTCAACTGGCTCGGGGTTGCTCTTCTTGGCCCTGGCCTTGCCCTTGCCCTTGCTGGTCTTCTTGTGCTGGTCTTCCTCGACCGTCTCGGTAGGTTCGGCGTGGGCTTCGTGGGCCTTGTCAGCCTCGTCGGCGTCGAACATGGTGGTGTCCTGCTGGTCACCAGTGTGTTTAGTGGCGGCCACGGTGATTTCCTCGGCGGCGCTCTCGCTGACGACGTGAAGTTCCTCGTCGGCCAGGCCGAAGTTGTCTTCGAGGTTCTCGTCGTCGGTCTGGGTCTCGTTGTTGCCTACGTCGCTTCCGGGGGCTGCGACGGAGCCGGTGGGGGTTTCGGCGATCTCGTCGGTGTCTTGGCGAGTGCGTTGGGAAGACATCTTCGCGTTCTTGATGTCGAATCTCGCAATTGGGACGTGTAGTAGTGGTAAGTTGAAAGTCTTGATGAGAATAGAAGGGGTTTGTGATGTGTTATGAAGTGGGAGATTTGTTGATTTTCTGTTGTGTGGGTGGAAGTGGGATTTATATAGTAGGAAAAGTTCACTTTCGTGGTGGTGGTGTTGAAAGTGAAAAGGCAGAGTTTTTCGCTGCCTATGAGGCAAGTGCCTACGAAGGGAAGGAACGAGTGTTTTGTGCGAAATTCCATTACGTTAACAAAGGGAATAATCTCGCTGATATCGCTTTATTAGGAATCAGCTGTTTTATCGCAGAATAGCGACATTGTTCTAGTTGTTTCGTTGTTGGCGTCGCTTGGAGCGGTAGGTTGGTGTAACCTCCGCGTCGACGGGATATCTCGCCTCATACTCGTTGACGAGCTCTGCTGCGTTGGTCTCAAGCGATTCGCGAAGCTCCCAGGTGTCGAACCTTGCGGTAAATCCCTTCCAGCGAACGAGATATTCGATCCTTGGCTCGCGTTTTCTCCGGTTGATTCTGCGGCTCACAATGTGGTCGATTTCCCATTCTTCGCTGCCGTCAACCTCGATAGGTTGGGGCGGCTGTTGTTCACGGTTGAATGGGTCGTCTCCCTGGGCTGGCTTGTATAGCTGCGCTACCGATAGGATTGGAAAAATTCGCCAATGGGCCGGGAGGTCGACTTCGTAAGCTGTTGGGCTCACAATTCGAACGATTCGAAAGGGGCCCATACGTCGTGACGTCCACTTGTTATGGCGTTGGCCAGGTAAGTGGAAGCCCTTCCCTAGTCTTATCCAAACCTCGTCGCCAACGGAGAATCTGACGTCTGAGTGCTTTTTGTCGTAGCGTTCCTTTCTCAGCGAGTTCGCTATATCGATCAAAGCCGCTGCCTCGTCCTGGTATATCTTTCTTATGACGTCGATAGACTCGGTTGGAGCGTCTTTTTCCGCGATGACGTCGAGAGTGCTTCGAGGCTTGAATCCGTATACGACCTCATTGGGAGATCTCCCGATCGTTGCGGTGTACGAGTTGTTGAGGTTGTGTTGCAGCGCTGGGAGAACCTCTGGCCATGGGGTTTCCGGGTACTCTGAAAGTTGGAATCGGATTGCAATTTCCGCTGTTTGGTTTGTTCTCTCGCTCTGGCCGTCAGTCTGTGGGTGGTAGGCTGTAGACAAGAGCAGTTTCACTCCGAGAGCGCGGAATATCGCGGTCCAGACGGCTGAGATGAACTTAGGGTCTCTATCGCTGATGATACGACGTGGAAGTCCCCAGTCAGCCAGTTGGAAGGCCCTAATGAGGACTATTGCCCACTCCTTGGCTCCGTACGTGGTGTGGCCTGGTAGAAGTATAACTTTCTTCGAGAATTTGTCCGTTGTGGGCGCAAGCGTATCAAACCACTCGAATCCGGGTAATGCCCACGGACTCCCTCGTAGGCATGGGCATTACCCGGCCCGCGGGTCCCACGGGTACCCGCGAAATGGGTCGGGTAGTTATGGGTAGTGCCCGAAAGTTTTACTATTACCCACGGGTACCCATGGGTAAAGTGGGTTTGGGTAAAAAAGCCCACGGGTAGTAAACTGAAGGGGGGCCCACGGGTTTGGGTACCCACGGGTGTATACCCGTGGGTAGATTTCAGTAAGTATGCATCACGAATTTTAGACATCTTTTGTAGTAGCCAGCCTCAAGAGTGGATATATTGCGCAACGAATAGACCTGCTACCTTGTTACTCCTAACTTCCGAACGCCCTGAATGCCTTCAATTAATCGCCCGCATTTCCCAGACTCGGGGTCGAACCACTTGTCTCCGTGGACTCTGCCGGCCTTCAAGATAGCCTGGACGAGATGCAGATCCTTCGGCTTAATAGTGACGCGATTGGTGTGGATCGCAGCAAAGTTAATCACTAGATAGTTCGTTCAACTCGATAAGAGTTTGCAAGTGAAGCTTACTGTCGAAAACACCAAAGAGAAGAGACTCCGAAGACTCTTGAAGAGCGCTAATAGCAGTCGCCTGCCAGCGCAGGCGCTTGGAGGGGTCGATGTCATCGCAGATTTCCTTCCAGAGTCGCTGGAATGGGGGCTTCGGAATCAGGAAGTCAAATGTCTTCTGGTAGTTCCTGACCTCCCGGAGAGCTTTTGCTAGGTATTAGGGTTAGTGTGTAGCCATCTTTTGTAGCAATCTAGACTTACTGCCAGGGCGCCAACGGCGTTTCTGCTGCTCCTTAGCACCAGGCATAGTCTTTCGGGCTATGCCAGGCATCATATTATAAAGTTAACCATGAATCAGGTAGGACTCCTAGAAACACAAGTCCAGGTCCAATCAATATAGAATCTTTTACAGATAACTACTGAACAGAGGTTTTCAAAGAGATTCTTTTTGAGAAAAAAAACAAGAAGCCGCGGCTGCGCACAGACTACTTTTTAGCGTATTTTGTTTTTTTTTTGTGAGGTTCTGAAGCTTCAGAAAACTTCTCCCCAGACAACACTACAACCTACCTCCACCACTAACACCCAGCCGCACCGACAAGCCTCTCAATTAAGGTAATTTGATACTTTGATCTCACAATTATTGGTTTTGACTTATTAAATCAATTAGGGAACAGTAGTAAAATATGTCCTCAGGACAGGATCGCGGTACGTTCACACCAGCTTTGTAGCAATCATTTGTACTAATCTCTTCTAGGCCGACCGCTTGGATCTGGTGCTGGAGCCAAGCGTAAAGCTGAAGAGGATTATTCCGACAACGCGCACACCAAGAAGTCTCGTCAGCGCATCGATAAGATGACTGAGAAGCAGAAGGCACTTGATCGCTCGAAGAAGTCGATCAACCAGCAGAAATCCCGCAAGCTTAAAGCCTTGAGGGCTAAAAGCTCCTACATCAGTGCGTCTGCTGATGAGCGCGCGGCCCTTGAGGCTAGGGAAATCCAGCAAGTTGATGCACGATAGTGAGTTCTTTTTTATTTCTTTTGGTGTTTCAAATCAGTGCTCAAGTGCTTTTAGCTTCCTCAAAGGCAACCATCCAGACCAGCTGCTAGCTCAGATGACTGGCCCAGTCTCGTCTAGCTCCTATAATATCGTCGATGACGATGAAGACGAGGCTTGGGAGGATATCCCTTTGAATGAGATTGATGAGGCTACCCAGGAAAACCTGGATGGAGTTGAGGGCATGCTCAACTTTGACGTTGACCTTGATAACCAGTTGCCGACCATTAATGTTGCTGAGCAGTCGAATGCGATTATCGACAAGATGATCCAGGTAACTGGATGACTATAATTAATTACTATAGCAATAGCTAACAAACAGACAGGAAAACCAGATCCGAGAATACCAGTTCTTCCGTGATACCTGGGAGATGACTCTTGAGATACTTTACATCAAGGTCAAGCGGCTGAACAGCAATCCTGCCTTTACCCTAGCTGCGATGGAGGATTATGGCTTCATTCGACCTGGCTTTAAATTTCCAGTAGTTGGCGACATCTTCACCAAAGAGGAAGTGCTTCTTTGGTTTGCACTCGCCAAGTACTGGCACCTGAACCGCTTGTCTAAGAAGAAGAAGATACGCCTGGTTCTTAATTCTTCTGTCAAGAAGAAGAAGACGTAAGTGCTTAATTGTAGCAATCCTTTGTAGTAATACTAATATTCTCAGCCAATTCGCACTCGCGCACCGCCCAGCCATCAAGATTCAAGGATCTCTCTTCACTACAGCTCAGCGCCGATATGCCTCCACTCCAAAGCCTTCAGTGAAGGCTATGTTCTCTGAGATCAGTGACTCGATGATCAAGAAAGGTGTTTGGGAGCTTCTGGGCCCTGCTGAAGTTTGGGAAGAGTTTACTACTCTCGATAAAACAGCCAACATCTTATCTGCGATGGATAAGAAGTTCTCAGCTATACTAAAGCTGATACCATTCTTCCTGAAGCTTGACCTTGCTCGGGATAAAGCGCCATACAACTGGCGTCAGGTCCATGAGTTGGCTCAGAAGCTAACTCGTTTGCTTGACTTTTCTCTATAATTGCAGATGAGCATAGCGAGAGGGTTTGTTTGACAGATTAAGAATTAAGAATTAGCAATAAGGCTAGCATGAATAAGGACATGAATTCTCTCTAGTCTGATTCTCGTATTGTAGCAATCGTTTGTAGTAATCTACAGCTGCTAAAACAATCTAGCACTCCATGCTCCCATCTTCTTCATTAACTGTTTAACTAAGTCAAGATCTTTCTTCTGCAAAGTTACTCTTTTAGCGTGAATAGCACAGAGATTTGCATCTATTAATATTCATGTTAATATAATAGTTTGAAGATCAGGATAGGATATCTTACTCTCGAACATGTTGATTAGAAACTGTTCGCTCATCTCATGGAGAGCCTCTATAGCCATTGACTGGTAGCGGATCTTATAGCGGTTTCTTAGTGGAAGATCAAGTGTTATTTCTCGAACTACTCTTGCGAAACTGCTCCGCGGAATTAAAAGATTGGTGGTCTTTTGATATTTTCGAATCTCACGAAGTGCATTTGCTTCACATTTCAGTAATTAAACAATAAAGAGTTACTTCTTACTTACTACCAGGCCTCCATCTACGAACTTTCTGGCGTTTAGTGATCTGGACGGGCTTTTTTCGAGCAGCTTTTAGCTGCTTCTTTGGCGCGAAGTTCAGCTGATCTTTCCGTGCAATGGTTGGTGGTTGGCCAGTATCTGTTCGTCTCGCCAACTTCGTCGCAAAGTTCCGCTTCAGCGGTGGTAATTCTGGTTGACTCAGGTCTGGGCTAGCCTGGCTATAGTAGGTTGCATGACTTGAACTTCTTGGCGGAGTCTCCCGAATCTCTGTAATTGGCTGTTTCAGGGGATTACCCCTCGCTGATGATGAGGGGTAACTATTTGGCGGTGAAGAGCCCTCCACTGTTAGCGGAGAGCTCTGATCTGACACAGGGCTAGTTGATAAGCGAGGCATTGAAGGATGAATGTAAGTGGGAGAAAAAACAAGTCGAAGGAGAATTCAGAGCTTTTAGATTTGTGTACGAAACGTATTAGTCAGAAACCCTAAAATAGAAATTTACGTAAGGCCACATAATCAAATGTTTGTATTCATCTTGTAGTAATCCTGCAAACTACTTCCTGTTCACACCAAAGGTAATTCTTACTACGTATGATGTCGAACTCAATTGCGTCTGACCCTTTTGGGCCAGACCCTTTTGCATCCGATTGTTCTGCTGCTTTCGAGCTCGTAAATTCTACGCAGACTCTAACAATCAATACTCCACCTTCTGGTTTACAGATACAGTCGGAAATCATTTTATTTGTTATTGAGACTTTCCAGACTTTTCTCTCGTTTTTCAAAACCCTGCCATGGTATCTCCAATGGGTAATCCTTGGCAAACACACACCGTTGTCCAAATCCCCTCAACCTGAACGAAAACGCTTCGCCAAATCCTTGTGGACTTTACAACGCCGAGTATCATTCTGGGATCACTTTCACCAAGGCTACCATATGACATCAGGGGAGCCAAAATTAGTCTGCAAGCACTGTCACCAAGTTTTCAATCATCCAACAATCAAAAACTCTGGTACAAGTGCTATGCAACGACACCTCGCTGCAAAGTCTTGTAAGACTCGACGTTTAGGCGCAAACCAGGTGCCTGTAAGTTTTACAGGTCATTGTAGCAATCATTTGTAGTAATCGCAATCTAGGGTACCCAATTGAAAGCAGTCTCGGAGCATCAAGCATTAGTTTACTGTATTGTTGGATCCAACTTAGCGCTTAATACTGTTGACAACTTAAGTTTCCGGCAATTCTGTTCACACCTGAATCCTCTCTACCACCTCCCATCTCGAAAGACGCTCCGAAGCTGGATATCCGAGGAGGCCTTACGCATTCAACACCACACTCTTCAGCTAATTCCGCCTGGTAGCTATGTCTCTCTGATGATTGATATCTGGAGTACACCTGGGTTAAAATATTCACTGCTTGGTGTTTTATGCCATTTTATCGACAAGCACTGGAGGTTACAACAGGTTCTTCTTGGTGCTATTGATATGACAGATGGTCATACAGCCTCTAAGCAAGCAACGGCTTTATCGACTCTGTTAGAAAATATTCGCCAGAGGACGAAGAAGACAATTCGATTTCAGACAGTCTCTGCAGACAACGCAAGTTCTTTTAAGCCAAAAGTCCTAGCACAAGAACTTGCAAAAGGGTCGACATCCACAGTACAGCCGATATATCATATTCGCTGTTTAGCCTATATTTTCAACCTTGTTGTTCGAGCGATTTTTGAGGCTCTTCGAATTTCGATGGTAGAAGCCTCTACAGAGTTTGAGCCTTCTACTACTCGAGCTAAAGATCAAGAGGACTCTGACGATGATTTTGATACTGAAGATTCTACTGCTGGGGAAAATCCTTTTGGAGCTGTTATTCAAAAGGTTAGATACTTCACCTAGTTATAAGATTTTATATTAACATATATACCTCCAGATTCGTGACCTCGCAGTTTCCCTTAAGCTTTCTAGTAAGAAGACGCAAGAGTTTCTCGACCTCCAGAAATCGACTCGCATTGGCCAGCGACCACTACGCCTCCTCCGCGATGTTAAGACAAGGTGGAACTCTACTACACTTATGTGTCTCCGCGCAAGAGAGCTTAAAACAACGATTTCAGCTTGGGTTGAAAAGCACTCTCTACAGGAACAATTCTCTCTTGTGGAGACCGATTGGGAGGCTCTTGATATTCTGCTTGATATCACCAGCCCGTTTTTACTCTTTACAAACATCCTCAGCCGGTTAAATGACCTTACCCCTGGTCATACCTTTACTTTATTACAAGTTGCAACAGTTCACTTGTACTTTTGCGCCTCTGCACTTAAAGATAAAGTTACTAGCAAAGACTTTACTTGGATATCAATCCTTCAGGCTGCTACGAAAAAGGGCCAAGAGAAGCTGGAAAAATACGTTCAAAAGCTAATTGAAGAGGATTCCTTCAAGGTATATGGTATTGCAACTCTCCTTACCCCTGAAGCTGGGACATCAGTTTCGAGTACTTTTGACACGCGATTCCAATTCGCAAATTACTTCGAATACCTTCCTTCTTCAGCCTCACTTCGAACTCGAGTACAGCAAGAATTTATCGAGGTATATACAAAGCAGTACCATCAAGATTCGGAACGCCATACCAATACTCAAAAAGCTGCAACTGAAGGACTCCGATACACTCTGCATAGTTTACTATCACGCAGTCCAAAGAAAAGG